TTCCCATAATGTGTGTGCCCCCCAGGATGCAAGCCAGACTCATGACTCAGGGTGGTCTGCACCCCGGGGGACCCCCAGCTCATCCCCCTCCCAGTGAAGAAGCCTCAGGCTCTACAATGCTAGGTCTTGGAATGGCTTACACCCCTAGCGGGTGCCCATTAAACTCACCTTCCAACTCATGCCTTTCAGCACTACCCAGTGTGACCAATAATAAGAAACCTCACCCAACCCTACTGCCAAACAAGGAACATTAAGAATGGGATGGGTAAAAACTCACCTGTTCCTTTAGTACCAATTATAGAGACGGGCCAAAAATTCCCATCCAGTCCTGAAGTGACCAGCGTATCCCGCTCTTAACGTAGGGTGGGTGGGTGGACCAATGAGTGCAGCATAAAGAGGGCAAAGCTGGGGGCAAGGAGCCTTTTAAAGGCAAACCTGCCCCCCCCCATAGTTTTCAGGCCACCATAACCAGTCCTCCTGTGCATGCCTCATCCGGGTGGGTGGGTAGAAAGCTTCCATGTCTGCAGTAGCGGCCACAGAAAGAGCGTTTTATGTGGATTTTGGGAGTAGTGGTTTTTTAAAAATGTTATTCTGTCCCCAATATTGATTAATTTAAAATGACAAGAACACTAAGAAATGTTTAAAAAAAAAAACAACAACCAGTTTTTATTATTCATTCCTGTGATATTAACAATGTATCTCTACATATAAATGATGTTATAATATTGGCTTGCAATGATTTGGCAGCTGAAAATCTTTTTACTGAAGGTCCATTGACTGAATATATGCATTCCTAGTGCATCAAAATGTTCTACTACTCAGTGATCTTTTTCCTGTCCATTGCACTGTCCTTGTGGAGGTTTTCTATTACTGTGTTCACATGGTCAGATTCCCATTAGTTTCTGCATTTCAATGCTTAACAGATGGTTTGAAGTGATAATTAGGACAACACTGGATAAAGGGAGAAATAAGGAAAAGTGCAAAATACTTCATATTCAGTGACTGCCTTGAGTTGAAAACATCTCTGTAGTTGCTATGTAAAAGAAAGGTTTAGGGTGCTAACACACCAAAGTATACAGTTTCATATTTCTTCTGACTCCAAAATATACCTAAAATTCAGACCCTCTCATCTTGGTAGTCATGCAATCACACTATAGACTGAAACAGTTAACAAAATTGCATAGATGCAATATATTTAAATATTTCATAAACCACTGCAGAGGTATGCAGATTATTTTTTTTCCAGTTTTGTGACCTTTCCATGAAGACATTTATTAATTAGATTAATGACCCAATTTATAGAGTGTTTGGTAGTAACCTCTTGTAATGGGATTATAATTTATAGCCATTTAGCAGAAGGGGTCTGTCTCCCTTGCCAATTGGAGGATGCCATTATCACCATGCCTGCACAAGAAACAGATGTGTGCACCTCCAAGACTGAGGCATGTGCTACTTACTCCTAAGTATGTAACTGTTGAAACATTAGGGAATAGCCTGGAAAAGTTACTGTTTTGGACTATATCACCCAGATTCCCCTAAGGATTCTGAGAAGTTTAATGCTTTCCCCTTATAATGCCAATGATCAAAGTTGACTGAGAGATCCTCAAGGCGCCACACTTTGATGTTGGCTACACAGCCTGTTGTTTAGTCTGCTGTAGGAATCGGCTCGTTCAGTCCTAAAGATGGTGGTCAGACACATTTGTAGACCTATATTTATGGGACCCTGAAGCTTGAACTGTTATGAGGGAGACCTTTGCGACCAGCAACGAGGACTGGGTAACCTCTGTTATCTTCTTCAATCAGGTTGTTCTATGAATTTTTTTAAAAAATGTGAACTAAAGTCACTTTTTGAGCCCCTCCAGGATTAAGGGCTTTGAAGCTTAAACTTCATTAGTTTCATAGTAGATTTGCCCCTGTTCAGACAATGTCATTGTTGGAGTGAACCAGATTGCTCCAGACCAGTCCTATCTGTACAGGTAGGACTAATCTGGTTTGGATTGGTTAGAGCATGTAACTGATCTAAAGAAACATTCTAGTTTGATTATCATGAAGTTACTTAATAAGAAAGTCACTTCAGACTATTGGCAAATTAATTACATCATCTGTCTCCAAAAGGGTGGCAGGGGGACTGATTTTTTTCTTTTTTTTCTTTTTACTGTATAATGCCTCATTGCTGATGTGCCACATCAGTTATGTTTTAAAGAAAAATAAAAAATCCTCTCTTTTTTTGCCTCCTCTTAAATGGCCAGTTGAGAAATTGCCTGCGGTTGAATCCATGGTGGAAACTTCAGCCGCAGGCAGTTTTTTGACTGGCCCTTTAAGAAAAGGCAAATAAAAGATTTTAATTTTTTTTAATAATTGATGCAGCGCATCAGCAATAGTCAATGCACAGTAAAAATAAATCACTTTCCATGTCCCTCTGCTGAGGAGCAGAGGAAGTGATTAATTTACCAATATCATGAAATGGATCACTTATTAAGCTATTTCATGTATTGGTAGGAGCCATTTTTGTTCCAAAGCAAGTCCAGATTAGCTCATTCGCTGCTGCTAATGTAGTCACACCCTGTGTTTCTATGTGGTATTGAAACTAACAATGTTTTTGATTCCTCTGTATTACTTAATACTTATTACTGATATTTCTTTTTAGAAATGGTTTCTGGATACTTCAGACACCAACGAAAATATATTGAAGTAGTTGACTGGTCCTATTCAGGTAAGTGCATTATTTTGATTGTTCAAAGTGGTTTGTTAGGATGAACCATTGTTTCTTTGATGGTAAAATAAACTACCCAGCTAAATAATACAGCCACATAGATTAAATATTAAAAATATTGGAAGTGTTCATCAAAGGATGTACTTATTCACCACTCCCCCCCCCCATCCACAAAAAGGATTTTGTTGTGTGCGAGTTTGGATATTTTCTCTCATAAATGCCACATATATATTTTTTAAAAAACAAAAACATTTATCCCAGACACTACATTTGTATTTCAAACTAGAAACCTTACTGGGATGTTTTTTTTTTAAATGTAGGGTTGAATTAATTTTAATTCAATTTTGTTATTTTCCAAAGATAACCATTTCTAAATAAAAGTTTGCAGCACTGTTTAGCACAATGGCTATTATGAATTTTGCATATATTGTGCAAGTGCATGTCTGTGTATACGTATTTACACTGGTATAGTTCATATGCAGAACCTTTGTTTTTTTGTGTTTGCAAAATTGAAGCACTGTAAATATGCTTGCATGAATTAAAAATATTTTATTCATGTAAATAGCTAAGGGCCATATGCAGAGAACTACGGCTGCTAGTGGTGAATGGAGGACTGGATAATTTCAACATGAAATTCATTGGAGTAAAAATGTTTAACAGTTCCTAAAATTTCCTGTGAAATATCAGGGGAAGGTTTTTTTTTGTTTTGCAATATTTTAATTAACAGTATCACTATTCAAAGTTTTAGTTTTTTGTTCTGTCTAGAATTTCAGATTACTGAAGAATTAGATAATCTAGTTTACTGAGGTTGTAGACACAACATGTTTGTTTGTTTAAAGATTCACTGAATTACTAGATTAGTTATAACAGCGGGTGACGTCCATCCCATGGGTCTTATTTGTTCCCTAGATTTCCCTCTCCAAGATCTACTCTCATAAGCTCAGCTCATATCTGAAGATACTAGCTGTGTGGACTTTGGCCCCTCCCACTTCTTTTCAAGGACTCCCCCCCCCCGACCCCACTTTATAATTCCCCAGCTTTGTATAGTCCTTGCATGCCTGCTTCATTAATGGAGCAAACTGCAATCCTAACATATGGAAAGCTTTTAGGCTGATGTTTTAATTTTAGCCTTTACTTTATACATGCATTTTAAAAGTAGCTTCAGAAGTAATAACTAAATTAACTTAATCTCGTACTTTCCAGGTTTATCAATTGCAAATACTCTTCAGAGGATCTTGAGCCAAGCTCAAAGGATCTCTGGCATATATTTATCTCTGCTTGCCTTTTCTTTGTTCTGCATACAAACACTGGAGATGGCAAATGAAACAAAACTTTGGTAAATAGGACTTGCATAGGATATCATCATGCATTTGAGAAAGGGGAAAAATTTCCTTCAGGTCACAAAGCTCTGGGGTATATACTTTACAACTGTTTTGTAGCTTCAGGGAGGGCTTCAACAAAACTGCAAAATACCTTTCAGTCTCTCTCTCTTTTTAAATTTCTCCTGTAGTTTAAACCAGCATGGGGATTAATTGAAAGCAAGTTAACTTCCCTGTTCAATTCCTTAAAAGCTGTCTCTGGGTTGCTATTGTTTCATATTTACACACAAATGTTTTTACACCAAGGGCTAATTAGTTCTAGTTTATTTCTGCAGTATATTTGGATAAGGCATTCCATATATTCATTCCTGCACTGATACTGTGTTTTCATATCAAATGAAAAAAAAACCCTTATAAACTGGTTAAATAAATCTGCAAAATCTGACTTTGAAAGTAGGCAAGAACTACATGTTTTATGTAAAAACATAAAGCTGAGAAGCTATTATTATGGTTTGATAATTTGTAAAATTTAATCCATATGCTAGTCATAATTCATATGTATTCCAGGGATGTTGGCAAGTCTTTGGATCCAAGTCCCAAGTCTTTGATACCAAAGGGGAACCAAGTCACGTAAATCTCTTTTAAAAACAACCTTTTTCCCTCAGAAAAAAGAGGAGGTTGAGTGGGTTCCAAATCACGAATTTAGTCTAAGTCATTGGGGGGGAGGGGAACCAAGTCACGTCCAAGTTGAGTCACGGTGCAACTTAAGTCTGACTTAACAGAGAATTCCATAAAGGCAAATCCCCATCCCTGATATAGGCTAGTGTTTGCACAGGACTAAGTACCATGCCATGATGTAAAGAAAATAAATCCATGCCTGGTGAAGTGTTGCTGTGGAACACATTGAATATAATACCGGTAGAACAGTATGAGTAGTTCTGTTTGTTTTGTTCATAATTCTGTTATTCCTTGTGCTTCCAATGGCAACACTGACTGCTTCTGTTCATTTATGAGATGCTGTACAATGTCAAGAATCCTTTCTGTATATGTTGGGCATTTCCCCCCTAATATATGAGCAAATGACACCAAATGGATACTACATTGTTGTTGCCCTCAGTATTCTCTCTGTCTCTCTCCTAATTTTTCTAGCTTTTATTTTATCCTATTATTTGTGCATTTTTAATGTAAATATATATGCTTTGTAATTTTGTCATTAAAAAAAGGAAGTAGGGATAGATGCCTTAAGACATATAGAGTGAATCAGAAAGTGTTTGTAGAGAAAAGAAGTCAACATCATCCTGATATAACTTAAGATGCCTAGTAGCCTCAGCCTTACTTTTTATAATTAAAACCATTCAAGTGTACTCTGATGTTGAATTAATTTTTGCCCCAGAGAAATTCAGTTTTAAAACTCTTGCTTCTCTCTGTAGTCAAAGACCAGAGTGAAACAGTATATCTGGGGCATATTCAAACTTTATCCTGCCTGGGAAAAATGTGTGATATATAAATTAGGGTAATTTTCATGCCAATGTTATGCTGCCGTTGGATGACTAGGGAGGCATTCACCAAATTATCCAGTTTGATCATTACAATGCTCTGTGAGTTAAAATAAAGTAAGAGATGTCTAGTCAGTAAGCAGACCCAATTACTGAATCTAGGTCCACCAATTGACATTTAATCTTCCTTCAAAATATAGCACCTTAGATTTTGGGGACTCCTATTAATATAGTTCCATTTTCTATCAGTGTGTGTCTGTGACATGGCGATGTGATAATGCAGTAATTTAAACTACACATGTTTTTCTGTTCTCCAGTGCGTTTTTCCACCCATATTGGTAGACTATAATAGCATTTTAGATGAAACTATTTTAATTTCTGTTTAATAACTCCACAAATTCTTCAGAAACCTCCCTTCTGTTTTCCACATTATTTGTTGGCTTGTTTATATTCATGTGGATAATTTGGCTGATTCACACTTTTGTCAGCAGAGTCATTAAACAAAAAGCATTTCCACCTTGCTAAGTGCTCAGCTTGCCACTTACATTTGGAAGTTGGAAAGAATGATTTGGCATCAGCAGTTTCAGTGGTATTACCTGTGCAATTTATTATAGCTTATGGCCATTATATGCTCTGGTCTATTATTAGCCTAAGTGCCTTGAAGAAAATAATATTTCACAGGTCTGCAGTTTGAATCAATGGAACTGATAGGGTTGACTCACCAAATATCCACTGATTCAGTGGGCCTATTCTACTGTGATTTACTATATTATCCACCAGGAATACAACCACTATTTTAAGAACCAAATTGGGCAAATCAAGGAGGCTAGTAAGATCCATGTCATAGTTGATCACAACTGCTACAGACCAGCAGAATACAACTTACTACATTACGTAACAGGATTTCAGAAACTGCCTTCTTCAAAAATGCCCAGGCTCTATGGACCTTTCCTGTTATTCAGTCCTTCAGCTTACCCATTTGCAACATTAGCTATACTGCTTTGGCATATTTGGTATTACCATTCTCTAGGATACCTGCAAACTGGCAACTCTCTAGTTGGCCAAGCTTCTTCTCCTCGTTGCTAATATACCACGCTTCCTGTGAGTGGCAGGAAATTCACTACACATCCCCCAGAAAGCATGTAGTTTAGTTAAGATTATCTTAGAATGGCTGGTCTTCTTTTGCAGTAATGTTTCTCAAAATACTCACTTGGGTCCTGCCCGGTAGAATTAATCCTATTTTATTACAGGTCTTGATAATCTTCCTCTCTTCATGATACATTCACAGACCCAGTTTAATACAACAGAACAATAAAAACAATATAATAAAACAATAATTGAAGCATACACATATTTAGGAAAAGCAATCAGTTAGATTGACAGAGCCTCTCTTTTTTGAGATCTTACAACAGAAAACAAAATCTAACCTAATAACTACAACTTGTAAACTATCAATTTCATCAGCATCAGCTGTAAACTGTGCTAAATTAAAACACATTGTGACTATCAAGACAAGGAGGAGAAGTTGAACATAAGAAGAAAAGAACTTGTTGCAACAGTGTGATTGGGTTCTTTGTCTAGTGTAGGCGGGCCTAGAGATTCGGTGGGAATGACAGTTGGGGTAGACGTTTTGGTTCCAATCAACTCAGGTTTATTAACTTTAATATCGGTTAAGTCCAGACCAAACGGGTCCAACAACTCTGCATCTGTTAACAGGGTATACTTCTTGACAACTGTTCCAACATTCCCCACTCTTAATGTCTCTTCACTCCAGGGAGGAGGGTTGTGCCCGAGTTCATTATGGGAATACTCAGCACTGCACATGTCGTCCCACAACAAGGATGCTTCACGACAGTACCCTCTAGCCTCGGTAGAAAGGGGCTGGTTCCACAAGGGGTCCCGCCAACCTCCCAAGGTTGGGTAACCGAATCCGCTTCCTTGTTCCATCCCTTCTTTTGCTCACCTGCTCCCTGCTTCTTTAATTCTTTGGGCAAGGGCAGCAGTCCATCCTCCTTCATGAGGTTAGGGAAGCTTTTTACCAACCGGGCTATTCTTTCTCGCTCCACTCCTGTTTCATCCGTCTGAACCCCTCTTTCCACACTTTCCGTTCTGCCCCTACCTCCCTCCTCCTCTCCTTTTATTTCCTTGTCCCATCTCCATACACCTGACTCCTCCCCCCAATCCC